CCCCCCCCCCCTGTTGTCGGCGATCGCGCGAAGCTTCCGGAAGTGGGACACACGCTCACGAAAGTTCACAGGTCACGAAGACAACACGGTGCTAATTAAAAGTTCCAAAACCGATGTGCGCTCCGAAGTACGTGTGCGTGTCTGATGCGTGCGAGGAAGGGGATGAGAAGGAGGACGTGTGTGTATGAGAGAGAATGTTGAGGAGTGTGTCGAGCATTGGGAACGGTACCGAGGCTGATCGTGAGGCTCGCGTGGAGGCATCCCGTGTGTACATATATATTTGGTAGCACATCAGCACGATGTTTTGCACATTATCCTTGGACAGAAATGGAGGGATAAATGGATCTTACACGAAGGATTACTTTCTTCGTGCAAGGTCCACTTTTTCCGATCATGCAAAATAACAAATTTATTCATGCATCTCTATACGCGATACGTATTATCGTCGGCTTCTGCTTACATCGACAAAACATTATCATGCTCGCGAGCCTTCGCATCAGCGTCGGTCCAGCCACGTATTAGTAGAAGCGGACACATCTTTTGTACTGCTCGTCCTGTACAATAGACATAACATTATACAAGCAAGAACGCAGAAACATAGCTAAGTGCCTACTCGTACAAACAAGATCAAGAGGAACCACAGCCATTGGTAAATAGCGTAATGATAGCGACCTCTCCCCTTTTTGGAGGAGCATAGTCACCGTGGAAGCGCGAGCCGTTCTTATCACATCCGACAATATATATATATATACACATTATATATACTATATGATAGATAATTCTTTAGTAAATCCGTCGGATCGATTCGTCCGAAGTAGCTTCCGTCGTGTTATCGAAATGGCGATAAAATATCGTCGCCGTCTTTTTCGGTGTGAATTTCTTGTATTCTCTTTGTCTGATGTCTAACTTGCGTGTCCAATTTTCAATTGCGAAATCAGCACGACGCGTGTCGCTGCGAATCTGACGCGACGAGTAATTCTCTTTTGGAGATGCGTCCAGAGAGGCCATTTCGGGGGAATCAATCCGCCGGTGATCACCGGATTGCCGAGCGATCGTGCACCAGGATAGCGAGGTGGAACACGCGAGCGTTTCGAGCGAGGAGTAGCCGAGGAGGGCTCGAACTTGCGCGAAAGGAAATTTCCGGTTCTGACAGCCGCGCGGGCACTTGCGCGCCCGACTTAAAGCAATATACACATGGATCACGGCGATATCGAACGTCTTACGATTCAATCGATACGCTTGGCAGCCGGACTACTAATAATAACAGTAAGAAGTCGAGTGTGTACGCAATTAGGCAGGTGTGAGAATGGCGAGGCGGGGAATTAATGATCCTCGACACACTTGCGAGGCGCACCGGCTGGAACTACATTTCTGTACAACACGATGTCCTTTAGTCTGTATAACGTATTCTTTATATGAAACACGAGGCCTTTTTACAGTTACTGACGATTGTAATCGTCAACGCAAAAGAAAAAAAAGAGAAGAAACGAATTTACCTCAAGATGAAAGGACAAATATAAACGAGAAACAGAGTACAGAGAGAGAGGGAGAGACAAAGAGATAGAGGAAGAGCCGCGCGCGCGCGATTTTTCGATTAATCGACTGTCAGTCGCGACTAGACGAGTGGTCGTTTCACGAATCTCATCAACGGCACCGAAGACCACGGCAGAATTCGCCCGTGCGCGAGACCTAAGCGCGCGAAAATAGGATTCATTAATCGCGCAGCGAGATCAGCTGAGGATATTACTTCTCCCCCCAGCCCCATTCCGCACATCCTGCGTTTCGAACTATAATTAATTATATTTACGATGTATCGTTGTAGGACTTATATACAGCGTCGAATGGTATTTTAATGTATAGGAAATTGCGAGGTAGAGACCAGCCGAGGGAAAACGCGGAAAACGGGAGCGTGCGTGACAGAATTGAGTGAAGAGAGAAGAGGCAGAAGAGAAAAGATAGATTGAAGATGAATAGATAGAGAGAGAGAGAGACGAGCGCACGACGACTTGGTGATTTCGGCAGGACTCGACGAATCGTACTGAAACGGTCCACCATCTCTAAGATACATTTTATATTCGCGGCAGTACATTGGCTCGTGTTTGCCTGATCGATTCACCCGTAAGACTTAATAAGACGCCATTACCAAATGTTTTCGAAAACATTCTGTTGTTTGTCGACTCGGTGTGGCTGATCGCCACTTAACAATATTTGCTCGCCTGGTCGCCGTGAGCAGACGACCGAGTGTTTGTCAGCTCCTGATTATCGCGCACACACGATTTTTGGAAGCTGTCCGCGATCGATCTTGCTCTCGCACGTGATCGACCTTTCTGTCGCGCGAGCGTTCCGTCGAGTTCGTTCTCTATTCAAGAAACAGTGTCGCGTATTAATCGATGAAGATGTTTCCCGACTACAATAACTGCAAATTAATCATTGAGATGGATCAATCGTTATGTACAGGGTGTCTGACATAATAGTAATACGGTAACATATAAAGTGTAGTTTGAACTGAAAATGAAACGTTCCTCCATCATTCTGCAAATAACTATGTAAAATTTTGTGAGTTATCAATTCAAGAAGATCATACGCGATCGTTCGTCAATCTTTTTTAATTGACGATTTAAAAATCTCAATGGTTGTTTGCAAAATGGCAGAGGAAACTCTGGTTCAATTTGACCCAATGTACGAATACGTAACGCAAATTGTACTTACATCTCGCACCGCATTCCACGCGATCACTTGCCAACATTCTTTAATTAATAATTCTAAAGTTTATGTGGCTGTTTGCAAAGTGGTAGAGAGGAATTCTATATTCAACTTGACCTCTAATCTACCAGAGAGACACCTTGTATAAAACACAGATAATTTCATTGATTGATGAAATTAGTTGTTAATCAATGTATAATCGATCACATCAAAGTTTGATTAATTTCATCAATCGATGCAATTATTAGTGATTTTGTGTATGTAACGCGGTTGATTGATTTATTTGCTGATTACTTTAGTCGAAGAAAATTTTCATCCTTTACTTGGTTATGTTGCTCTCAAGCAACGTCGATTTCTGGACTATACGCAAGATCGATAGATGCATGCAGGACGCATTTATTTAGCATTGTTGCTCTGGAACAACAACTGATTACTTATATCTATCTGTCAGTATCTCAGCAACTTCGACTTTTGCTACTAGTGATGAAAAAAATTGTTGAAAATTTGTTTTCAAAATGGTATCTTTGAAAACAATATTAAAGTAAAAGTACTAATGCTCGTATTTAATCCTGGACATTTTTTTTATTTTGGTCTTTAAATATTTAAACTTTCAACGTGAAATGTACTCAATACTTGTATATATATTTTATGTTAAAAGTTTAAAATATTTGAGAAACACACAAGACAAAAAGAATGTTCAGGATTAGATACATGTCCGGGCATTGGTGTTTTCACCTTACTGCATTCGGGAGACATCAGTTATTTCACTTAAATACTGAAAGATTTTTTTCTTCAAATTTTTCGGTTATATCCTCCAAGTAAAGGATTAATGCCCGACACTGCCAACAAGTCGTCGTGAGCTCTGCTTTGTCCGAGTTTCGCGGACAGGCGCTTCTCTTCTTCGCACGCGACGAAATATTATTCGCACGGAAGTATGACAAAGAACGTAACGACGTGTGCGGATGAACGCTCTCGTGAGTACGCGGCGTGTATCAGGCCGATTCGTTCGAAATGGTCCCTCGCCCGCTGCCGGCGGGTCGCCTCGTCATAGTAGAGGATTGTAACTTTTTGGCGGATATTTTACACCAGCCGGAAATGGCATTGCGAGAGCGAATAGAGATCGCTCGCACATTGTAGATTTTATACCTGATTTTCTATATTGCCTCCCCCCCCCCCCCCCCCCCCCCCCCC